TCTACTTATAAGTTGATCATGCAACGAGAGGCAATCGAGTGATCGGCCGATCTCTCGAGGACATTGGCTAAAAAACCGCCGTTCATTTTTGCTACAAGAGATATCAAACTGCAGAAAAAAAAACGTATAAAAATTTAAAGAAAAGTTTTAATAGAAAAAAAATAGAAAAAATAGAGAAGTGTACGAGAAAAAACGTGGAGCAGTCGAGAATAACACAGAAATGAAAAAGAATTGAATAGAACAATAATAGAAAATAACAGTATAAAAGAGGAAGATTATGCGTTTTCGGGAACATAAAAAAACGTTGCATTGTAATAAAAAAACATAGCAGTTATTATAGAAAAAAATTGCATTGCGGATAAGGAGCGCTTAGTAAAGATAAGAGAAGGAAAAGATTAAATGAAAAGAAAATTGAATAAAACAATGATAGTTGCAACGTACAGTGCATAAATAATATTCGATATGCAAGTGTATTATGTGTGCGAAAACAACAGTAAAAGATGTAATAAAAATCAAAGATTAAAATACTCTAAATAAAATAATATATACACTTAATACACGCTTATAAGTGATTTGTCAATAAAAATAATAATTGAGTGTAAGTTGATAACGATATACAACAAAAATACTATAATTATGAATTATCGCTTTTATTTTGATCCGACAGAAATGCTGTTCACAGCAAAAGCAATTAGAATAAAATTTTTAATTTTTTCCAAATTATTTTCATATATTTATTATAAACACATAACGAATGTCAATCAAACATAATTATTTGACATTTATATAAAAAAAAAAACCTTAATTTATTTCGGAAATAAAAGCGATAAAACATAAAGAGAAGAGATAAAAATAAATCTAAATAAAAGAAGAGAAAACAAGATAAAAATAAAAGAAACTGTAAAAATAAATTTTTAAAAATCTTACAAACATCAATGTTATCGATGTACCATATTCCAAAACCAGACGAAGATTTTCGTCAAGCAACGCAGACGAATATAGAAAGGCGAGAACAAAAATGTATGCAAAAAAAAGTTCATAAGGACGGATTTTCAAAAATTGTTCCCTACAGCGGGGGATCAAGACGAACGATCAGACGGAGAGACAAGAGGTCGCTCCCGATAACCTGTCGTAAATGCGATACCAGTTAGTCATTCATTTTTTTTGCACTTTCGATGCTATTTTCTATTCCAAATTCTATTCCACAGTGGCGACAGTGACAGCGAACCGATATCGAGAGACGGCGCTTCCGAACGTTTGCAATGCATGTCGCGCATTTTACGCACGCACTCGGTACGTTAAGAACATACTATCACAACTATATTATGCATATTTTTTTCTTTTTTTCCATTAAATCGTTCCGGCTATTAATCTCACCGATATTGCTGGGCAGTGGGCGTAACTTTTGAACTCTTGTTGGCGCTTCGCCGTTCGTTATCTGGGTAATGCTAAATATTAGGTTGAGTAAAAAGTCATCGCGTATTTTTTAGCTCAAAGTTGTATATACAATATCTTCGTCAATAATGAATGAAATTCAAATTTAAAAAAAGGGTTTTAAAGCTTGAAATCTCTACTTTTAAAAGCTTATCACATTTTTTAAGTTTATATGAGTTTGATAATTTTTACATACCAAAAACTACGAGCTGAAAAAGACGAAAAATTTTCTTCTCACTTTGTGGATTTGTAACGTGTCCAAAACGAATTTGAGAAAATTTTCGATTACCTATCGTGAAAGCTTGATACTTTCCCTACAAAATCGTTTTTTTTTAATATATTCCTACGACTTTTGATTACTGAGTTATCGCGGATTAAATAAAAGAATTATTTTGACTTTAATTGCTCATAACTCCATTAAAAATTGTCGTATCGTATAATTTAAAAAAGAGATTTTTAAAGCTGAAACTTTACTCTATCAAGATATATTTATATTGTTGGTAAGAAAGTAATTGCGGTTTTTACTGATAGATGTCTTTTAAAAAAACACGATGACTTTTTACTTAACCTAATACATGCACACTTATTTTTGACTGCTGCAATATCGCAAGATCAGTTTAGGAAGCAAATCGTACGATGTCGATTGTCATACTATAACGTGTACAATGGAAGATATAGTAAAGGATTTGGAACAGTAGAATAGAGCATAGAAGCTAGTTACAGATAAATGCTGTCTATAAATAGTACAGCTGCTATACTTTTCGAGATAAGCAATTCTTTCTTTTTCTAGTTTCTTTTCACTTACTTTTTTAGAGGGAGTTCACTCTTTGATAAATAATTTATTAAGTATTCTATTCCATAATCACAACATTTGAAATAATTATTTACAACTTATGTCTGTATAAACTTCTTTTTTCATTTTAACTCTAAATGCAAAATACTGTGAATATTTATGTGATAGTAAAAATTATAATATAGTTATTGTGTTATATATATATATATATATATATATAGAAATTAAAATTGTAATAATTATTTATGTGATGAAAAAGAAAACGATAAAGATATGCGATGGAAAAAAAACTTTTTCACCACTAGTTTAATTTACTAACAGCAAATTATACAACTTGTGTTTGTTTCTCTGTGGTTTATCTTTTGCAGAAAAAAATGAGGAATTTCAGCCTTATCATCGTTACGAGCAAATGAGCCTTCAACATTTGCAATTAGTAATCCGCCCGATGCGACGGCGATCTACGATCTAAGGCGAGTTCAGTACAAGAACTTCGATCTCGATTCACGTATCCCGATTGCAGCGCTGGAAAATAAAGCTATAATTGACGGCGATATAGATAATAATAAGTTAACGCTTTATCGGAATGCCAAAGTGTCTGTAATCGCGCGATACGCGATAATCGGCCACAATACGGCCGGTGCCGCACCACGCTGCGCCGCGCCGGTGAACTCACCATCGTGCTCGGGGCATATTACGCTTATAAAAAATTCAGATTCGCCCAGAAAGAAAGCACGCCAGTCTTGCGGTTAGCGAGACCACGATCGGCCTCCCTTGCCGATCTGAGTTCCTAAGCAGGTCGTTGATCTTATTTTGTTTCTTCCCCTTCCTCTTTTTTACTTTTTTCGTTTCTCTCTCTCCCCCTCTCTCTCTCTCTCTCTCTCTCTCTCTCTTTTTTCGCGAACACGGGGGCCTTAATAACAGGTTGCGGTTCTACCGCTACTATTACGTGCTTAGCGGCAAGTGGCTCGAAGACAGTTTCGCCCGAGGGACTCGTGTGGCGGTGGACCGTTTGGAGCTCCTTCTGCTCCTTAACAAGTGTATATTATGCACGCAGCGCATACAGGGTGTCCCCGAAAACATGGTATCCTTGACCTTCACTTTCATCTGATTGCCGTGGTAGAATTTCTAATTTTTAGTACACCTTGGTAGCAATCAATAATAAATCATACAATCCGCCAATTACGTGATACCGGGCACCTTGCGTCATCGGACTGTCACTTATTCCTCCTATTCCTCCCATCTCTGGGAAGAACCTATGAAAGTTTGAAACCTACGAATCCTAGAATGCTTTTAGATATTACGAAGAATCTTTCTGTTTTTTAATTTCATTCTGTTTCAATCTTTTATCATTCCGTATACGATTCGTATTGTATATTTTTTTCAAATATAAAAGAATACAAATAGAAGGAAGCTGCATGCGTGCAGCAGGCGAGTTATACAGTACTCGTCTGGTAAATCGTAGAGTTAACAGCAACGGATGTCGGATGTGAGCGCCAGTTATGTAATTGTTACTTCGACACTATTAAGTTACAAGATGCTCATCAGCGGCGATGATACGATGCAATTCAGTGTATGCACAATGTTGCATGCGAGAGCGTGTACATACGCGAGTCACGCCGGACGGATCGCCGAGTCTCGCTGAGGTTAATTTACTTGATGTTGCCAAGGAAAACATGATCGGTGTCGTGTATGAAATATTACCACTCGCGGTAATTAATTCTGAGCGAACCTGGCGCCTGGCTGGCATGATCTTTGGGATAACGCTACCTTTTGCTAAGATACGCACAACGAGGTTTTGCAATCGTGCAATCAGACTAAACATCTCGCAAAAAAAAACGAAAAGAATCGCGACACAGCGCATACGTTGATATTTTGTTGCAAACAATTTTCAATACTATATGCGTACTGCATTGCGAGAGCATACATTAATTAAATACCGTGCTAGAGTAATGCTTCTCACAGATTTAAGTGAACTTAAGTGCTCTGACATTTAAAAGATTTTCTTTTCGAGTTACACTGTTAAAAATTTCTCGAAATTTAATATACTTTTAAGTTACACAGTTTGAATTTTAATTTCATGACATCGCGTTAAATTTAATGTAGGTATTTATAACTTAAAAGTATATTCGTGTACATGTATATAAAATTTAATGTACACTATAATGTTTATTATATTTAACTACTGTAACTTGGTTTTCAATTAAATCATTCATTACTTTTAATTTTGTTCATAATCAGGAGCTTCAGTTACAAGTGTAAAGGAAGCATTTCTAACAGTGTATGTATGATAAAATTTCAAATTGTATATAATTGAATTAGTATTCTTTTATTCTTTAACATTGAGATATACCGCAATAAAAAAATATACAAAATTTTTAATAAAACCTAAATTGTATTTAAAAGATAAATCGTTTTAAAAAAATTCAAGTTTTTAACTTTTATTAGACTTGATAAAAAGATTTACTGTGAATAATCCATACCAACATTTTTCTCACAGAGATAAATATAGAAATTAATTTCTAAATAATTTTTGTAAATTATAAAGATACACATAAAATTTCTACAAAATGATTACATTTAACAATACAGAGTGTTTCATGGAATTGAAAGATTGAAAACGAGCTATATCTAGGAAATGATAACAAAATATGGGAAAATGTTACGAGATAAAATAAAATGATATTATGTTGTATCCATCCTATCAGTCTACCCTCTTTCTCACTTCATGGGACATTCTGTATACAGAAGGAGGGAAACGGAAGAAGAAACTTACGAGGCTGCGCTAAGGCAAAGACACTCTCCGTCTTCGCGGCGTATTCGTCGATCTCCTCGTGGTGTGTGATACCGGGCTCTAAAGGCTGATCGGCCTGCATCCCATACATGTCCATCAGCTTCGAGATCGGCGGGATCCTCGGCAGAGCTCGACCCGTCATATTCGGCGCCTGTTTCAAGCCGAGCTTATTCAGGATCTGCTCCTTGATCGCTTCCAAACTAAGCGCGCGGATCTCCTCGTGCATCCTACAGGCGTTGCAGGCGTTACTGGCCATCGCCAAGTGCCGGACGTGGGTTCTCTCGATGCCAGGCGCGTCAAAGGCATCGAGGAGAACCAGCGAGAGTAATAGCAGCGCCCTCGTGACCATCTTGTTCAAGGTCGCCCTTGGTCGGATCAAGCTCTACGATCGGCTTTCGTCGCGAAAGGAACGATCAGATGATCAATGGCATCGTCGTTCCCGCCAAGTCCTTGTCTCTCCTCAAGACAAGACTTAAAACTTTCTCTTAATTTCCCCTATTGAAACGAATTCTTTGTTGATCTCTGATAATCCCTGCACTATGTCCTCCCTTTCTGTTTATATTATATTATATTTTCCCCTTTCGAGATGGCCTCCCTCGCGATTACAGAAAGTCTCTTCCTTCTCTTCACGCGATTCTTCTATACTCTCCACTTCTACTTATTTTCGTGTAACCCCGGTCTCATTCGCGAAGAAAGTCTCTTTCTTCGTCGTTTATCTCGCAGCGCCGGCTTCTTCCTGAACTTACGCAACCATACGTTCTCCACTTCCAGTAGCCGCCTGGTCCCCTTATCGTGTCCTGAAGTCGGTACTCCGCCGGAACTAGGCGACCGGCCTCGATCACGATCGCGATCTGCACGATCCAGTTTCGCTTTCTTCCGTCCTACGTCACAAATTTATTAACTCCGTGGAAAGCTCCAGTCTTCTCGGTTACGCAGAAGATGCGATTAGATCGAGAAAGAGGGAGAGAACGAAAAAAAAGAGAGGGGGGAGAGAGAGAGAGAGAGAGAGAGAGAGAGAGAAAGAATCGCCGGTATATTTTCCGAGCGATCCGCTCCACTTTATGGGGGTTCACCAAAACCGTTCTCACGCACACCAATCACAGCGAGAGAGAATCACAAGGCACTTGAGGGTCTCGACGGGACTTTGTGCAAGGTGTCCTGAACAATCATGCAGCCGGCTGCATCCTCGTGACCTTCAGGTTTCAGCGCCAGTTTGGCTGTCGTTCCGAAACGTGCTGTACGGTCTGTAGGGTTCAGTGACAGATCCTATTTTCTATTAAACACGCTTCGGATGTCATGGCGCCAAATCCGAACTGGTTATCTCGACCTTCATCAATTGATCCTACTTTGTCGGCGTGATTCCTCGATTCTTCCTTCCTGTCCACTTCCGGTTATTCTGACTTTTTTGGCTGACACCACTGAGTTGCTACTACTGCGGGTACCAGTTTTCTCGTGCCAACCAGCTTCACCCTCGTTTGAGGATGCCGATCACCAAAAAATTAGGTGGAGAACAATTGTGAAGAATGATGCGTGATAGTGCGTGGGCAGCGATGGCTCAGGTGACGGACTGGTAGAACCCCGATGGATCTTAAGAGCTTGCCGGCCTGTCAAGCACTGAGACAGGAGGCGCGAATTCTCACCGCATATATGTCCGAAGTGGTCTCCTCCTCTCTTCTTCTTCTTTCTTCTTCCCTCTCCCTCTTTCTCTTTCTCTTTCTCTTGCTCTTTCTCTCCCTCTATCCACTCCGCTATCACGCTGTCTCCCTCCTTCGCACAAACGCCGTGACGTCTTTCTCCGTCTCAGTATTCTCTCTCGTAGTATCTTACGCACTCGCGTCGTAGGGGCCGAACGTATACCTACACCCGCCGCCAACGAATGCCCCCCCTGCGCGTTCCTCCTCCCTCGCTATCCCCCGCTCCCAACCCTTTCTGCCACTGCCGTCGCCGTCGTCGTCGCTGCCGCTGCCACTGC